GCGCGCGCGCGCGCGCGCGCATGTCACATATATGAAGGTCAGAGGACAACTCATGGGAGTCAGTTCTGTCTTTCCATTACGCAGGTTTGGGGGTTCGAATGTGGGTCGTCAGGTTTGGCGGCAAGTGCTGTTTTACCTGCTGAGACATCTCACTGGCCCCCAGGGTTGGCTTTGACTGCCCCCCCCCATGACAGGCTAGCTGAGCAAAATTACACTCGTTCTTTAACCTCTTTGAGCCCCAATTTCCTCACGTGTAAATGAGTATAATCGTTATCGGGATTCCTATCTCGTTGTCGTGAGGAACAAGCGAGATGATAACACGTGAAAGCATTTAACAACCACTGGTTATTATCTCCTCCCGGAGCCCCAGCCAGGCAGCCCGGCTCCTCCCTTTGTAGTCTATAATAATGGCAGGGCTGGCCATCTCCTGGCTTGGCTGGCTCCAACCTCAGCTTGGGCGCCAGGTTTCCCTCTGCCACCCCCAGGGAGCTAAGCGGGCAGTGGGCAGACATCTAGTCACTCAGCAGACACAGGCGCAAGCAGCCCGCAGCTTGCCTAGGCCAGCAGCCCAGCTTACGAGGGCAGGGAGGAGTGTGTGCCAAGCCCCAAATGCTGAGCGCTTGGCAGAAGGTGACAGAAACCCAAACTACTCAAGGTAGAGGTGGGAGGTGAGCCGGTGGTCACAGAGCAGTGTCCCTCAACTGTGCCAGAGACGGCCAGCAATGTCCAGGCCCGGCTGGCATCAGAAAGGCTGTCTGTCTGTCTCTACCACACAACTTCCACTTTGCTCTGGGAAATAGTAACTGGGGGAGGATTTGAAGCAGGGATAGAGGGAAACCACGGGTGTGTGTGTGTGTGGGGGGGGTGCAGGCAGAGGCTTAGGGATGGGGGCAGGACACCCGGTCCTGCTCTGTTTCACTTTGGAGAACTCCATCAATAATGCAAAGTCAAAGAGACTCCAGGTCTCGGGAGCTGGGCTCTGGGACCTACAGCAGCCAATCAGATTGGCCCCCACCCCCAGGGTATGAGCTCATGGCTCCTCCCCACGGCTCTCCCTCCCTTCTCCCAGACCCAGGCTCCTAGGAAATTGGTATTCTGCGGGCAGTGCCCCAAGCCTGTGACCTCTCCTAGCCCTGAGGATGACGCACAAGTGCCCAGGCCAAACAAGATACAGCAACAGGGACAGACAGCGTTGGCACTGTTCAGGCCTGAACCTGGAGCCACATCTTCTAGCTCACAGGACCCTGGGGAGGGCTCCCTAATCCCAGCTCTCTTGTCTGCTCCAGTGTGGCAGGCTATGGCCAAGCCTCTCCTCTCCCCTCCCCCGCCGGTTCCACCAGTTACCCCGTCCGTCACAGCCTCAGGGAAACTGCCACTCAGCTCCGATGCCTGCCTCACAGTTCTCAGGGGCAGGAGAGGGTTCCCTTGCACATCTCCCCCCCACCCCCAAACCCTACTCTTAATGGAGAAAAGGTGAGAGACCGTTTAAGTTGGTATCTCTTGGCATTACCTGGTACTGCTCTCCCTGGGGGCTACAGAATGCACCACGGGCGGGCGGGCGGGAGCTTCAGTTGGGGATCTGGTTGTGGCCTTGCCGAGCAAGACAGGGACAGGAAGGGCAGCACTCACATGGCTTCGAGTCTCCCTGTTGCCACAGGAACGGCCTGGACTGAATGGCTCTTTCATAGGGCAGTGGGAGGCCAGCCTATTGGCTGGGATCCCCCATACTCCTCCCTGTCCAGTGTGGGGCCTCTGCTGCCTGGCTCCTTTCATTGTTTATCCACAACTAGCAAGTTCAGGCATGTGGCTCCTGGCTGTGCCTCCCCAGGTGCCTGCCACCTTGGACCACAGCAGGGAGCCCCAACCCATGCTCCTTGTTCATGGCATCCTTACAGAGGGGTTGTCGCCTCCCTTCAGAGATTTGCCCATCATTTTGCAACGTTTTCCCCAGAAACTGGCATGCTGGCATTGTCTGGCATAGGTGCATTCAGCTTCCTGTGGGGACCCCGGAGTCATGCAGCTGTGGCTCCCCAGCCAGCTGGTCCCCCCACACCTATAGCCCAGGCACCAAGCTCACTGAGGAGCTCGTATGGAGCTTCCGGTTTTATCTGCCGGGCAGCCTCATACCATATGCATATGGTCCCTCCCTACCTTCTTGGCAGTGTGCTCGGATGTAGAGTCCTAGAAGTCTTAGTGTAGACGCAAGCTCGACCTTTTTCAGATGTATAGATACTCCGGCTTATAAACGTAATTGCGAAGGTTACACTGTTAACATTAAATTAAAATGGAAAGGATAGCCATCATTCTAAATGGGCACAAAATTTAAATAGTGGATTTGGGGGACAGATCTTACTTTGTAGTCTAGGCTGGCCTCAAACTTTCTATCTTGTCTCATGTCCCAAGTGCTGGGATTATCAGTACGAGCCACCACACCTACCTAATAGTGAAACTTTCAAATGAAGTTTTTATCGTTCGTCTTTCTGAAGGTTTTAACATTTAAAACTGCACGGACTTGGGCTGTAGTGTATTAACTCAGTCCACCGGCAGCTCTCAGCAGCGGATGCTAACAATATGTCTGCTTGCAGATAAGGAAAGAATTCTTTCTGCAAGGAATGTGGACCATCTCCCAGAGCTACTGTAGTACTAGAGCTGAATGGGACCTGCTCTCTGTCCTCTCCAGTAGCTATGAAGCGATCCCCTGTCCCTGGAGCAGGACTGTGGGCCCGTGGAGTCGAGAGAGGACCCCTCCAGGATGCAGCCGTCCATCCATCTAGGAGAGACTCCTTCCTGCAGGAGCAGCCCCTGGATTTTCCACTGTAGGTGAATGAAAGCGAAGCCTGGTGGCAACCTGAGCCACAGCGCAATGCCGATCAGCCGCAAGATGGTGAGAGAGGCCTCCATTTCACCGGCCGTGCCAAGCTCTGTGTGTCCCCTGGCACTGGCATCTACCCCAGCACAGGCTCCTGGGCCCCAACCTGGCTGTGGACAGATCCCTGAGCCTTTTCCCCTGGCTGCCTCTTAGCCCACTCCCTGGGTACCCACATTAGGTGAGTCAGGGGTTGAAACGAACCCTATTCCCTGGAGGCAGCCAACCTCCTGGCATCAAGTCACTGTCATCAGTCACTGTCATTTCCTGTCGCTCACGTGAATGGCTCCCTAACCTGCCCAGCTAGGGGAGGGGCTTAAACCTCAAGAATCCCAGGCACTCCTGGCCCTGGAGGCAGGGGATGGGTGATGGTGCCCCACATCTCAACAGACTCCATGCCCCTTTCTGTTCACATGGACTCGCCTTCCTGAGGCGAAAGCATATCCACATCTGTGGCTTTGCGACTACCTGACAGAGGCCTCCCGTTCCCCCCAAGACAAACTTCATGGGCACACCCAAACAGCACTAAGTTCCTTTCCTCCCACCCAGATGTTCAGGTCAGTGGGGAGTCCCAGTCAGTCTCACTAGGTGCTTGGGAACCTCCACTGTGGTGACCTCAGAGCTTCCCAAAGCTGCTTGCTAACTGCATCAGAATGTGCTGACCGGAGGGGTAAGACAGGTGAGAGGGGACCCTGTCATAGCCGGTGACCTTTCTTCCTGGCAGCTTGGATCCCTTGCTACTCTTCCGGGCCACAAGTGTCCACCCTGGCAGGTGTGGAGAAAAGGACAAGAGGACAGGGGTGGCATATGCTATGTGTCATACCCTCTGTCCTCTCAGGCCCCTGGAGCCCCAGCCTGACCTCTGACCTCTGACCTGTTGCTAGCACCTCTCTCTCTATTCAAGGCTGGTTCTCAGCAGCCCACCCACTTATCATGGGATCCTCTCGGCTTTGGAGGGGGGGGGGTGATGCAAAGGAATTTGTGTCTCTATTTCTCTTGGCTTTAGAAGGTGCCTTAAAACTTGGGGAGTGGAGGGGAGATGAGGAGGTAAGACAAAGATCAGAGATGGAAGAGATTACAAGAACCATCCTGACTCGTGGAGAGGAAGTGGGTAGGCCCAGGAGGCATTGCTATAGGATATATAATATATAATTTGGGGTGGATATCTCTGTAAGTCCAGAAAAGGCAAAGAAACAGGCTTCCTGGAAGCAGAGTTAGCTTTCAATCCTCTTTCCCACCCCCCTGTGCCCAGGTACCTTCCCAGTGCGCCCTTCTCTGGAGAGAATCCCATCTCGCTCCCATTAGGGTTTCAGCTGTCTTCCGTTCCCATATCTTAAGGAGCATTTGGGCTTGGTTACAGCACACACCAGGCCAGTGGGTGGCGTCTATCATGCTCCTCCAAACTCACTCAGGGCTTACTTGGGTCACTCGGCTGCCCTTGAAGCTCAGAGACCAAAGGGAGAGCTACTGACCTGTGTCCAGGGGTGCTGGATGGGAGAGCTGGGGCCTTCTTTCCCAGCAGGGAAGGGACTGCAGTGTAGAGTCCAGAAGCAGGAGTCTAACTGGAGCTGGGTAATCCGGAGCTCAGGTTACGCTAGCTAGATATATATAGTATCTTATCTGACCTCGCAGAGATGGCAACTCACTTGCATTCCAAGCCCCAGGAGAATTAAAGGGGCAGTGACATGCCCACCTTCCACCGGATGCCCAGGGGCCGGGTGATAGCCGAGGAGAGCTAGCTAGAATCCTGGGAGGGGCTATTTGGAAGTAACACAGGAAGGACCAAGGGGGAGTAGAGCAGAGGGCTGGGGCTGAACTGGAGTCCCAGACATGGGGAAGGCGGATTCTCTAGAGCTGTCAGTCACGGACAGAGCGAACAGGAACAGGCTAAACTGCTGGTCCAGCCTGGGGAACTCTGAGATGGGGAGGACCTAGCTCCAGGACACATGGGCAGAGAGAGGTGCTCAGGGCCAGTACTCAGGTGTCAGTCCACTACTTTTTTTTTTTTTTTTTTTTTTTAATGGTGGACTTCTGGTCTAGACCTGAATTCCCATTCTTCCCCTTAATGGATCTAAGATCGCTTGCAAGAGCACTTAAACTCTCTGAATCTTAGCTATGTAATTTGTAAAACACGAATACTTGAGCCCGGGGTGGTGGCACACATGCCTTTAATCCCAGCAGGAGGCAGAGGCAGGAGGATCTCCAAGTTAAAGGCCAGCCTGGTCTACAAAGCAGACAGCCAGGGCTACCCAGAAAACACTGTCTCGAAAAACCAAAAAAACCCCAAACAAACAAACAAACAAACAAACAAACCATGAATAATAACAACAGTAGTGATTATGGTATGCCTCACAATGATGAGGAAAAAATAATAGTTTTAAGCTTCCTTGAACATAGCAAGAGTTTAATAAATGGCAATCTTATTGACTATTTCCACTTCTTATCTAATTACTACTAATGTTAGTAGTAGCAGGCAACCTTTCCTAGAAGGTGACCTTTCCTAGAAGAAAAAGGCCTCAGGCCACCCCTCAGGGGATTGCTCTGATACCAGAGACCAGCCCTGTGGTTTTCTGAACTGGTCTACATCCCCAAAATGGAAAAAGCAGACAAATCTTGCCACCTTCCCAAGGCAACAGGCCAAGCCCACTTGGGCTCCTCTCCCCTTTGTTCAGAAAATAAATAATTAAATAAATAAAATAATAATAGCAAGTGTGGCTTCCCCGGGCTGCCGGGAAACTGCCTAGCCCCAGAGGGGCGGTTCCAGTCTACCTGTTGGAGAGCTCAGGGTTCCCGGGCGGCAAAGGCAGGCTGGACAGGATTACTAGAGGAGGGCCTCTCTGGCCTTGGTGCACCTGTCTGCTCCCAAGGTGATTCTTCTGTTTCTTGATGGCTCTTCCCAGAAGACTGGAAGGCCCTGGGGCTGGTGCCTCCACCCTGTCTCAGCACAGGGTACTGACTCAGACTGGGTCCTGATGATGTACTTCAGAGGACGCCCTCATTCCAATCCTCATTCCAGAGTGGCATGCATCTACAGCATCAAAGTCGGGGACACCCCCACCCTAGCCCATCTACCAGCTCTCCATGCCCCTGGTTTTGTGGGTTGATTGGGGTGTGTGTGCTTATGCCTATGTTTGCAGAGACAAGCAGCCCCTTGGGGGGGATCTTCAACTCAACCTCATTCTCAAAAGCACTGGGGTCAAGAGCTAGGAGTTCTCCTTCCTCAGAAGAGCCAGACGGGGTTGGTTGGCCACGACTCCGGCTTGGCACACTGCTTGTCAGGGAACACGGCATGGCTGCGTTTGCTTTGGGATTGGTGAGAATTTTAAAGTTGCCTCTTTCTGCTTTGGGATTGGTGGAAAATTTTTCCCTTCCGCTTAACTGCTGGCTTTCCCCTAAACCCCCTTCCCCCGCTTTGGAAAACTGACCAGAGACAGTTCCAGGAGGTCTGACAACAGGGAGGGAGGGAGGTAGCAGCATGCACACGTGGGGAGAGGGGGTGCCAGGGTCCAGGCGTCATCCTCAGGCCACACACCACACGGGGCGCGGAGACCTGTACCCGCGGTAGCAGTCTTTCCTCAGAACACATTGATCAGCACACAGATGGCTCTTCCTGGCACCCTGAGCTGGCAGCTGGCAGCCCCTCTCACACACTGGCACCCACAGCTGGAGTTCCCCCGCACAGCTGGCCCTCGCCCTACATTTCTCATGTCCGGACTGCCCAGGCTGTCGTTGACACCCTACTTTCCGAGCCTCCGAGCTGGCACCGACCCCCTCTTTCCCCTTCCCCGATCTGCGACAGGTGGCACGTACCTGCCTCTTTTCGGAGGATGGACGAGTCGAACCCGGCACAAGCATGGAGCTGCGGATGAGTCCTGGCTGGTACTGGCGCGGTGCAGCGAGCAGTGGCTGACGCAGAGGGCTCCCTGGCCTCGCTCGGTGCCTGCCCGCCTCTCCCCCACCTCCGCCGGGGGCCCAGAAAGGACCTCCCCGGGAAATCGGCGCCACCCAGCGGGCAGCCGCCTCATCGCGCCCGGCTGGGAAAGCCACACCCCGCGTTCGCGTCACTGGTATACGTCACGGCTATTGGCTTGTTCTTATTATGGCGTCAATAGAGCCCCGCCCAGCGCGGGTCTCCCAGGCAACCAGTATATACAGAGAACCACGTGGAGCAAAAGCACGCCTGTTTGGAGCCGATGGCGCAAGGGAAGAAGTGGACTGGAATGTGACAGGTCCTGGCAGCTTGGAAGGACTGAGACAGAGGGGCCACGTCACGGGAGAAGGCGTCATACCAGCTTTCAGATTTTAGGGAAGGCTTAATGTTCCTCCACGCTTTCCTACCAGGCTGGAAATGATCTATTCCCCAGTCTCTTCTCTTTCTGCCTACCCTTTTTTTTTTTTTTTTTTTTCTGAGACAGGGTTTCTCTGTGTAGCTTTGCGCCTTTCCTGGAACTCACTTGGTAGCCTAGGCTGGCCTCGAACTCACAGAGATCCGCCTGGCTCTGCCTCCCGAGTGCTGGGATTAAAGGCATGCGCCACCACTGCCCGGCTTCTGCCTACCCTTTTATTTCATTTATTTATATTTTAAAAATGCATTCCTTTAAACGGACAACCAAGTACATCTCAGAGCAATATTTACAGAGCCCCATCAATCAAGCAGATAAAGAAGATTATGTCTTTTCAACATGATACTATCACATTACTATTCAAACGACTCATCCTATGGGCTACTTACTAAGTGCATTACTTTATTAGACACTGTGATAAGTACTTTGCATGTATTAGTCTTCTCATTTAATCTTTTTAATGGCTCTGTAAAATGAGAACCACTACTCTAGCCATTTATTGCACGGTGTAGCTGAGGCCTAGAAGACAGTGTGTAGGTAGGTCCGGTGTCAGGGTGTCACGAGGTAGTAAATGACAAGGGCCCATCGCATTCCTGCCAACACAGTATGGTGGCTCATTTAGGTGATTCACCTCAAGAAAGGATAGGTATTCTATCTAAGCTATTAGCATTAGAATTAAAAAGAAGAGAGGCAATTTGTATTTTAATTTTAAGCAAACTTGACTTCTAAAAGTTGTTTGTTTATTGTTAACAAATCAGAGTCACTCTTAAAGGCACCCTGCCCCTTTGACTTCCTTATGGCTAGTGGTAAATGAGGACTGGCTGCTGGAGTGGGTAATCAAGTCAGTGGGAAGAATTCTCTGAACTCTTAAGAAAAAGCAGAGGCTGGCTATAAGGGTGGCTAGTGGATAAAGGGCCTTGCCACCTAACCAGCCAGCCTCAGTCTGATCCCCAGAATTCCAGAGTTGGAAGGAGGAAACCAACTCACGTGGGTTTGTCCTCTGACCTCTACATGTGCATGCACACAAAACACACAAACAAACAAGCAAACAAATGTAAAAACAAAATAAAAACGAAATGCTAACCCTGCTGGGCTTCCTCTTAAAGAAAAAAGAAAAGACTGACGCAAATCTTGAATTTTTCCCTTCTTGATTCTTATTACCCTCGTCCACTTTTTCCACACTGATGAGGAAAACCGCCCAACCAAATAGGGTGGTGCCATGGTACATCCAAGACTTCAGCTTTGCCTGGATTGTTAATTCTTCCAGGTGCCCTTAGCTTCTCCTCCCATTTTCCACACTGTTATCATGATGGGTCTCTACTCTCAAGTTCCTCCTTTCCTTAATTCCCCAAAGAACTTAGATGCAACCAGAAGGGGGATACTTACATTTCCACCAACCCTCACCCCACCATTTAAGAGGTAGGCATGGGATATATCAGACATTATTCTAGATACTGGAGCTATGTAGGGCAGTGAATGAAACAGGTGCAATCTCTCTTTAAGGGGCTCACATTTTAGGAGGAATGGAAGGACAATAATCAAAAGGTACAAAATATAATATGTGAGGTGGCGCTGGAGCGGTGGAAGCCAGTTAGACCCCGGGGTGATAAGGAGTGTGTAGGTTGTGATCTGAGGTGACCCAATGAGAAGGTAACACATGAGTGACCTCCAAGTGGCAAGACGTGAGCCGTGTGGATGCGTAGGGACAGAATGTTCCAGGCAGCAGGAGCAGTAAGTGCAAAGGTCCTGAGGTGGGAGCCATATGCTACTTTTGAGGAAAACTAGGTGGGTGTGGCTGGAGTGGTGTGTGGATACAGCTTGCCATGCCCATAGCTGTCTTGGGTCATAACCACCACGATTTCCTGAATTATCTCGCTGATTTTTTTTCCTACATACTCTCTTGGTGTGCTGGCTAATTTTCTCAACTTGACACAAGCTGGAATTACCTGAAAGGAGGGAACCTCAGTTGAGACAATGCCTCTATAAGATTCGTCTGAAGGGCATTTTCTTAATTAGTGATTGATGTGGGAGGGCCCAGGCCACTGTGGATGGTACCACCCCAGGGCTAGTGGTCCTGGGTTCTATAAGAAACAGGTTGATCAAACCACGAGGAGCAAGTCAGTAAGCCCCCATGGCCTCTGCTTCAGCTCCTGCCTCCAGGTTCCTGCCCTTGAGTTCCTGACCTGACTTCCTTCAGTGATGAACTATGATGTGGAAGTCCAAGCCAAATAAACCCTTTCCTTCCCAAGTTGCTTTAGGTAATGGTGTTTCATCACAGCTGTGCTAATCTTAACTAAGACACCCATAAATCCATGAAAAGGTAAAACCATTAGAGTCATATATGGGGCTTTATAGTCAGATCCTGGCTCTAGCTGGGGATGCGCCTCCCTATGCTATTACCTTTAGGTAAATCAGGAATATTCTAGCCTGTGTCCTAATAATAATAATATGCCCCTCTTTTTGGCTCAAATTGTGGGGATCCACCTGATCTTGCTGCTGCTCAGGACCACCTTCTGCTGGTTTTTTGTACGCTGAGATGGAAGTCCAGGAAGGTTTTGGGCAGAGCAACATGGATCTTATTTCTGAATGGAGAACAGATCCGAAGAGAGCCAGAACAGGACGAGGTTAGTGAATTCACCTGGGGAGAAATGATAGTCACTCTCACTGGTTTTGGGGGAAGCAAGGGAATTGATGGTGGTTGTAACCTGGATGTGCTTTGACTGCCGCGTGAACAGAGTTTTGTGATGGGTTAGGTAGCAAGAGAGAAAGGGAGGGATTGTGTTTTGAACACGAGAGAAGGAAGCTGTAGAAGGAGCAGGTTTTGGTGGAGAGGAGCAGGTATGTTAGCCTGGTATTATATCATGCATTTGATGATATAAAAAAAAAAAGCAGATGTTGAAGTCTGCTGTGATCTGGGCTGGGGAAGTTATAACATTGAGGGTCCTCAGGTTGTTTAAAACCATGGTATATAGAGATTGGCAAATGTCGACAGAGAAGAGTGTAAGGCCTGAATTCTGGGGTTTTCCAACATTAAGTAGCTTCAGAGATGGTTGAAGCCATCGGAGACTGGAGTGGTCAGTGTGTGGGATGCTAAGGGAGGAGGTGTGGAGGCCCTGAAAGATTTCCTAGTAAGATTTGAGCTAGCTTTATCCAGCAGAGCTGCATTAGTGGATGGCTTGACCATGTGCATGGTTACTAGGTGACTGGAAGTGTCTACACTTGGTTGAGCTAGGGGGAGGTCTTTTGCTCCACCCCTTGGCATTCCTATAAATAGCCCTTTAGAAGAGATAGAAGTGGCTGGTGGATAAGGACCCAGGCCCTCCCGAGACTATCCTGTGTTTCTGTTTCTCTCCCCTCTATCCTTCTATCTAAATATTTCTCATGTCACCTCTCCTCAAGAGTACCCTGAGGTAAAATATGGTAGCCCAGTTGGGCTCCCAAAAGAAGGGAAAGAGCAAAAGTGTCAAATGTCAATAGATTAAGTGAGATGAGTTTTAGAATTGATTTAGAAGGTTGATGACCTTGACCAGAACATATTTGGTGGAGTCTGGTAGAGCAATCAGGTGAAAATCTGAGTTTGGATGAGTTCAGTAAAGAATGGGAGGCAAGGGATGGAAATATCGCTCCCTTTCAAGATGTGTGTGTGTGTGTTATATGAACAAGAACATGAGTCCACACGTGCCATGGTGCATATGCAGGTGTCAGAGGACTATTTTTGAAAATTAATTATCCCTTTTCACCTTGTTTTGAGGCAGAACCTCTTGTTTCTGCTGCTTCACTGAATGCTCAGGGCTAACTGGCCCAGTTTCTGACTCCCATCTTGCTGTTGAAACACTGTGATCACAAATGTGCACCATGGCCTTCCCTTCTGACTTGGTTCCAGGGATGTGGACTCTGGTTGTCAGGTTTTTGCAGCAAGTGTGTTTACACACTGGTGCATCTCTTTGGCTCTTCCTGGTTTTGTTTGTTTGTTTGTTTGTTTTTTTGAGACAAGGTCTTACTATGTAGCCTTGACTTCACTATGTAGAGTGTCCAGAGCACTGTCCCAATGATATGAGGGTATGAGGTTGAATTTGGTAGCGGAAGGACCGGCTTTGATTAGGGGTGTGAATCACCTAAAGTGAGGGGAGAGGCAGAGAGCCCTGGGACAGGTATGGGAGGTGGATGGATGTGGTGGGGAGTCTGCACTGCCTCATCTTTCCGTGAATTAGAAAGTGAGGCCAGCTAGTGAGGTTGGCTGAGGAAAGGCAGGCATTTGCTGGATTACGAGAAGTTAGAAGGAAACAGTTAAGTTGGAAGTGGTGGTGTAGGCCTGTAATTTCAGCTATTCAGGAGGCCGAGGCTAGAACATTGCAAAGGCTAGAGGATTGCAAGTTCAAGTCTTCTCTGGGCTACAGAGTAAGATCAAGGTCAGATTGGGCAACCTAGTGAGACACTGTCTCAAGAATATAAAGTGCCTATCAACAGTGCTAGTTATACACCTCATGGTAGAGTGCTTGTTTGAGGCCCTGGGTTCAAACCCCATTTAAAAACAAAAAACAGGCCAGGTGGTGGCGGCAGACGCCTTTGATCCCAGCACTTGGGAGGCAGAGCCAGGCAG